CTGGGATTTGATGATTCAATAAAGCAAGACCCTTATTCCCCTATGTGATTCCAGTGAATATCTACTCCACTCCAATCCTTTTGGGTCCCAAGATAGGGCAGATTAACGCTCTTTTTCTGTGGGAGAGAAGGGAAAAAATGCCTCAAGATTGCATCTGAGGCGCACACAAAAGGTAAATTCAAAACTGCCACTTGTTCTCTGCAAAGGCTCCTTATTCTCCGCCATTGATGTATTTGTGCCAGGTTTTAAAGAAACCAGAGGGGGGATGAGGAATTAACATATTGCTCATTTGGAAAAACAGCCGGTTCTGGTTTTGGTAACACTTGTTCCCTTGCCAGCCACAGATGTCCTTACTAATAATCGTGGCAGGTCACAGAAAGAGGGGAGAGGAAGGGGGGTGGTAGGGCGGGGGGCGGGCGGGCTCCCCTGCACTCCCGTGCTGCTCCAAGCCTGCCCCGAGCCTGGCTGCTGCTGCTGGGGCGGGCGGAACACTGCGGAGCCGGGAGCGCCGCACCGCCGGCTCGGGAGTACCCGCGGCTGCAACCGGCACTGGGCTCCGGCCGGACCGGGCCGTGGGGACGAGTTTTCCTTTGTTTTCTTTGGGTTTGTTTTTTTTTTTTTTTTTTTCTAAACTCGTCTCAGCTTTGGGTTGAGGTTCCTGTACTTTTCCCCACTGCAAAACCCCGTGATATTTTTTTATTCGCCTCCTTTAAACTTGCTGACCGTGTGGTTTCCCGTGTTTTCTTGGCGGAGGGGCTTTCACGTAGCTCCTAGGCAGGACGAGAGAAGATGCTGTTCAGAACCTCTCGCCGGGGCGGGGGAGGTGGATGGGGGGAGGTTCAATAAGCCAATTAGACGCGACCGCGCCGTCCCGGCCGCCGCGGAGGCTCCGCGCCGAGCGGGAGCCCCGTAGGTTAATCATGACAATTGGAAAGGCAACACTCGCGGGGAGAGCAGCGGGGGGGGGGAAGGATGTAAACACGGTCCGGGGTGTTGAGGGTCTAAATTAGGATTTGTTTTGTTTTTAAGCGTGAAAGAGGAAGCAGCAGGGCTGCGCCAGGCTCCCCGCCTCTCTCGCCCTCCATCCCCGCAACTGAGAACTGGGGCTGGCGGTACAGGGGGCTCCCACCCAGAGCTCGGGGCCTGTGCTGGCTGCGGACCGCACCCCCAGCTCAGTCTCTTTGCTTCCAGAGCTGAGAGAATTTTGCCGTGGATGGGATGGATAGGAGCAATGGCTGCAACCCTGGGCTCGCAGCCCGCCTGGGGTCCTCTTATCCCGGGCGCACTGAGGTGTCGGTAGGCCCATCGGAACGGGCACGGCTGACCTCGGGACACTTGCCCGGGTTTCTACGGGAAAGCCTCATCCTTCCCCGGGGACAGAGCGCTTGGCTCGGACGGGCGGGGAGGGGGCCGTGGCCCCGGTTCCCCGAGGCGAGCTGCGCTCCTTGCCCGGCGAGCTGCCGCTTTCCGCCGGGAGCCCCCGTTTGTCTCCTCTAGGGTCCCGGATCCTCGGTCCGCGGACGTGTCTACCTGGAGACTGAGCTGTTCCTGCCGCCCCACGCCTGGGCCCTGCCGAGCCAATACACCTGTCGGCCGAGCTGGAGGGTTTTAGGGGGGATGTTGGACTGTCACTTGCTGGAGAGGGCAGCCCCTCTGCTGCACCCCGCTGCCACCTGCACCGCTCGACCCGCGCCGTCGAGGGGGCGGCGGACGGCTCGCCGTCCCCCCGCCCCATCAAGGGCCTTGCCGTGGGGTCCGGGACAGAAAGGGGAGGGAGTGGGCACGGAAAGGGCTGAGAGGTTTCTTCCGGGAGCGGAGCTGCGCCTCGCGGAGGCTGAGCCATTCCCACCTGCGCCCCTGGACAAGCACCTGCTGCCAGGCGAGCTGATGAAAGTCCAGTCTGGAGGACCCCACCGCCAGCCCCTCTCTTCCCCCTCACCTGCCCAAAAAGTGCTTCGCAGTGACAGCGAAGCCCTCCCGCCCCAAAGCTCCGCGGGGCAGCCCGCCGCCCTGGCCGCGCCCCGGGAGGGCTCCGCTCCCAGCGGGAGAATCGCTCCCGGCCGCTCCGAGGGCTGCTCCTGCGTAACCTACTGCAGCTCTAACTGGCAGCAGGCGTTATTTTTCTTTTAAGATACCCTCACTTCTTTTTCTTTCTTTCTTTTTTTTTTTTTTTAAACAATAAATTAACATGCCAGAGGCAAAAAAAAAGGCGAACGCTGCCCCCTCCCCCCTACTCCGTTACGGAAAAGAAACTGGTAAATTCGTGCTTATGTTAAAGAATGGCTATACAGTATTATCTCCTGTGCCAGGGGAAAAGGGTGATGAATAAAATTGTTGTATGAAATGGTTTGGGCTACAATAATAGTTATGGTTTAAAATAGGCGACAGGCTGCAACCTAAAGGAAACGGTTAATTCCCTTAGGAATTTATACATCAAACGAAAACCGTATTGAGATCACTAATAGAACTATTCAGAATAGCCTTGAGTATAAGGAATAGGGCTTTTGAACGAGCGAAGCTCCTAAGCTGCTTTGCAAAATAGCTTTTTCATAGATCGGAAGATCAGCTGTGGAAAGGTAGCACGACAATTAAAAAAAAAAAAAATCCATAACTAGATGAATACTTGAAACCTATTTATTTTGAGGTAGTCGTCCCTCTGCAGAACCTGTTGTCTCAGGAGCCCGGTCCTGAGGGGCTTTGTCGCTCCCTCTAGCACAGGGCGCTAGGGAGTTTCTCCGAGTTCAGCCGGAGGCGATCTCTGCCGGGGGGACGGGGCCCGCGGCGCTTCGCCTCCAGCCCCGCACATCGGGGCTGCTTCTACCCCGGCCAGCTCTGCCCTGCCCCTCGCCGCGAGAACTTTATCCCGTTTTAAACAAGGCAGGTGAGTCCAGTAAAGGTCACTGCTGCTCGAAAAATACGCCTTCCTGCAGGTCTCACCGACTGGAAATTAAATATCCAACGGAGGAATTCGAGCGTCTTTTAAAAAATAATTTATCATTAATAAAATTACAAAATAACATACTATCATCCCAGGAATATCTGATTCTTTGCACATTTAGTTGAAACAATTTTGATTTTAAACCAGATTATCTACAAAAAATCGTATAACCAAGCGAACATGGACTGCATCTTTAAAACTCAAAATACAAACTACTATTTGAAATCCCGTAAAATGTAAATATGCATGAATAAACCTGTTACAGATAATAAATGGCTCTGACAAAGTTGAAGAGATTACAGAATAATTATCTGCCTCGTAAAGAAAAAAACTCCAAGCAAACGGAGGGGTATCTCGGCACCAGCCCCAGAGGTCCCAGTCATACTCCCATCACCTCAGCAGTGTCGATGTCAGCGTACAGCTGACACCCCCAAAATCCACATTGAACAAGGAGAGACCCGTCCCCAAAGCCGGGTGCTGGAACAGTCCTCGCCTTTATTTCTTTGCAGGGGACCGGGGCCGCTCGGGCAGCCGCACGAACGGGAACTGAGTCTTGGCTGGAGGTTCTGCTCTGGGGCGCCCCTAATCCGCTCGGGGACCCGGTTCCCCCTGCCTCGGGCTGTGGAGGGGCAGAACGGCGCGGAGAGGGCTCGGGGGGCTCTCTGTGCCCGCACCCAAGGGACGTCTGGTGCCTGGGATGGCCCCGGCGGCGCGGCCCCTGTCCCACCATCAGCCGCGGCTCTGCGGGCTCAGCGCGGAGCGGAGCGCGGCCCCGCGGGACTCCCGCAAGGCCGAGCGGGCGGCGGGAGCCAAACCCGGGCCGAGTGTGACACCTACCTGCCAGCGCCGGGAGCACCGCGCCCGCGGCCGGCCCTGCGCGGGGCTGCGCGACCGCGGGCCCCGCCGGGACCGCCCCAGCCCGGGGGCAGCGGCGCTGAGAGCCGGCGTGGGCAGCGGGGGAAGGGAAAGGGGCCGCGGCCGCCCCCGCCGCACCGAGCGCCTTTGCCCGGGCAGTCGGCGGCCCCGGCTGCCGCCGCAGCACCGCTGCTGCAGCGACGCGGGCTAAATCTGGCAGAAAATCGAACTCATTAGCAAAGTTCACCAGCTGATTGCTTTGCATAAAACACGACACTGATTGGAAGTAATTAGGTTAAAAGATGGGACTGCCCTTCGATTTGGTGTTTCTAACAAGTGCTTTTGTGCGTGGCCTGATTTAAGCCTTCACCTCTGGGAACAGCGTCCCTCCCGCACCCTGCCCCGTCCCGCTGCCGCCGCCTCTCCTGGCCCCGCGGCCGGCTCTCGCCTCCGGAGCCCCCGACCTTTTAAAAATTTCCTGCCACTTCCAAAAAGGCTTCAGGTACTACTGTGAGGTCCTCAGTGGAGCCCCGCGTCTCATTTAAGACGTGCTTTTATTTTTCCGCAGCTATGCACATGTCTGCCCGTTGCAAAAAGAGAGTGGTTTTGATTCTGTTAAAAATCTCTTTTAATTAAATATTTGCATTTTACAAAGGCGGCTGCAAGTTTGTTTGGGTTTTTTTTTAATCTAATATGTATAACCTATTTCCTTTTTTTGTCTCGTTTTTGCATTATAGTTTAACTTACACCCAAGGGAAAAAAAACAATAGGCATAAAAAATTAAATTAAACTTGTATATATATATTTTAAAACTATGAAACAATTCGGAAAAAGACACAGAAATGTATATATTTATATTACGAAAACAACATTAATGCCTGTACAGTTGTCTTGATTTCATAATTTACTTCAAAGATACTGTATTATCAATTTAAATACAAAAAAGCTACATTAAATATACAGAATAAGATTTAATACAAATCTTTCTTCTTTGTGTGTGTGAGAGAGAGCGTGTCACTCATTTGCTTTTCACTTGCTTAAGACATTTCTGGGTGGTTTCCACCCAGACATTTCAAATAGACTCTTATAAACTTTTGAAGAGGGTGCTGGGAGGGAGGGGGGAGCTGGTCTTTTTCTGTTTGTTTTGTTTTTCTTTTGGTACTGGAAAAATAACTGCCAAAGCAATTTATTATTTCTCTCAAATAAATTAAAAAAGGAAAAATAAAAATAAAAAATAAAAAGAAAAGAAAAAGAAAAGGAACAAAACCACAGTCCCAGAAGGGGTTAGGGATGAGAAGCCGATATTAAATGTTGGACATACCTTTCTTCAGTTCGTAAGGTGAGTCTTTGCAAAGGTCTACTTGGGACTGGCTCCTGATCATTTTAGTGTCTTTAGCCAGGCTCTCGGCTCTGCTGAGGACAGTCTGATTTAATCCATTGAAGTGGGAGCCGGGGGCTGCTGCGGCGGGGCCGCCGGCGGGGTGCCCGTGCAGGGCCCCGAAGGAGCCGTAGTTCGTGTAGCCGGGGTAGAAGGGCGCCGTGTAGTAGAGCGGCCGGGGCAGGACCGCCCCGTTGGGGAAGGGGCACTGCGCGGCCGGAGAGCGCGGCCGCGGCGGAGAGCGGGACGGGCCGCCACCGCCCAGCACGGCGGGGCCGGGGGGTGCCGCCTCGCCGCCGGCCTCCTTAGCCTTGTCCGCCGAGGTGGCGATCTCGGCCAGCGACCAGAGCTTGGGCTTGGCGAGGGCCGCCTGCTGCGGCGAGTGGATGACGGAGGCGCCGGTGGCGGCGGGCAGCAGCGGGTGCAGGTCGGCGGCGTGCGGCGGCCCGGCGGCGGCGGAGGGCGGGCGGTACGGCGGGGGCTCCTCGCCGCCCGCCGGCGGAGGCCCGCGGCCCGCCGGGCACGGTCCCAGCGGGGAAGCACCGGGCGCCTTGTGGGGGCCGGGCGGCCCGTCGAGCCGCTCCTCCGCTAGCTCTTTGCAATCCGAGTCGCTGAGGCCGCTCTCGGCCTCCCGGGGGCCGGGGGACTCCTGGAGGCGCTCGCAGCCCGGAGCTGCCTTGGGATCCGCCGCTCCTGGTAGCGGGAGAAAGGACAGGGGTGGGGGGGCAGCTCTCGGGCTCGCCCTGCGCCCCCAAACCCGCCCACCCACTTCGCCGCCCACCCCTCGGTCCCCGCCGTGGCCAGACCCGCAGAGCTGCCCGCCGGCTCCCCCCGCCCCGGCTGCCCGCTCGGGGGAACAGGCCGCCCGCCACCGCAGCACCGGGCCGGGGGCAGCCCCGAGGGCGCGGCCCCGGTGACCCGGCCGAGCTCGCTGTCCTACCTGTGTCCGGAGTCCCGGGGTCCCCCTTGTCCTCCAGTTTCTGAGGCTCGTCCTCGTCGTTCTTCTCCAGGTCGATGTTCTCTTCTTCCTCCTCGTCCTCGCTGCGGTTTCGTGGGGTCCAGGTCATTTTGTTCTCCTTCTTGAGCCGCCGCCTCGCGTTGGCGAACCAGGTGGAGACCTGGGTGAGGGTCATCTTGGTGATGATGGCCAGCATGATCTTCTCACCCTTGGTGGGGTAGGGATTTTTCCGGTGCTCGTTGAGCCAGGCCTTGAGGGTGGCCGTGGCGTCCCGCGTCGCGTTCTTGCGGTATGCGGGGTCCCCGTAGGGGTAGGAGCCGAGCGGCGCCGCGTACGGGTGGTACCCCAGGGAACCGGCCATGCCCGGCGTGTGGTCGTAGGGCGAGCCCTGGGGAGAGAGGGGAGAGCGGCCCAGAGGGGCGAGGTCAGCGGCCGCGGGCGGCAATGACAGGGCAAAGGCAACGCCAGGGCCTGCCCGCAGCCCCTGCCCGCGCCCCGGCGCCTGGCCCTGCCCGGCTTCTCCCCCGGTTCTTTCCCGGGAGCTCTCCGGGGCCCGTAGGCTCCGGCTCCCAGAGACCACCGGCTGCCTGCAGCAACCCAGCGGTTCTAGCCAAATGCAGGAGCGGAAAAGCAAGTGGGCAGCGCGGCGTGGGGACGGACAGCGGCAGGGGGGCCGGAGCCTTCCCCCCCGCGCTGCGATCGCGGCAGACAACCTGCCGGGCCCAGGCGGCCGGGCGGGCTGGGCCGCACTTCCCTGCCCAGGGACGGGAGGAGGAAAAAATAAAGGGAAGAAGAAAAGAAGATAGAAAAGAAACAAAAAAAAAAAAAAGGGGGGGGGGGGGAGAGGGTAAAAAATAAAAAGGCAAAATAAAAGAAATGGATACATAAAAAGGAAAGAAGGAATGTGAAACTCTGCCCTAAACATAGAGGAGAAGCTGAGCCAAAGTCGCCGGTTTTGGGGGGAGCTGCGGGGCGTTGGCTGTGGCCGCAGCTCTGTGGTGTGGATGTCCCGCACACGGAGTGGCCCCGCGCTGCCCCGCGGGCGCGCACGGCGGCGCAGTGCCCTACCTTCCCCTTCCCCTTCCCCTTCCCCTTCCCTTCCCTTCCCGCGCAACCCCGCGGAGCAGCTCGCGGCCATGGGATTAGAGCTCCGCAATATTTAAGCCTAATTATTACCGTGCAGGGGAAAGTTGCCTGGATTTATCGCCCGGATTTCTCCCATCGCCGACCGGTCCTGAGTTCATTCCCTTTTCAATCACAACAAGCTAATTGTTGCAAACTATGATTGGTGGTTTTTATACATTTAATTTTAATTTTTTTTTTTTAAGGGAATGAAACCGGTCCCCGCCAGGGCCGTGCTCTCCAGCGGCTCCCCCCGCGCCCGGCCCTGCCCGCCGCTGCCGCCAGCAACAGTGTGAGGCAGGGCACGGCGGCGATGCGGGAAAGTTGGGCGGCGAGGCGAGGAGCCGCGCTCCCTTTTGTCCCCGAGATCTCAAAAATTAAATGGGAAAAAAAAGCAGGCCCGGGGGGGGTGGGGGGGCAGGAGCCCGTGGGATGCCGTCGTGCCCGACGCGGTGCCGGCTGCCCGCGGCTGCTCTTACCACGTAGGAAGTGAAGGCGGCGGCGGCGGCTGCGGCCGGGTCGGTGCCGTACTGGAGGTGGGAGTTGTAACCCGGGGAAGGGGCGGTAAAGGCGGTAGATCCGGCATAAGGGGAAAAAGCGGAGCCCGAAGAAGATCTCCCAAGTTCATCGGTCCTGGGTCCGGAGATCACGCTGGTGCTGTACGCCGGGCAGGAATAGAGAGCCAAGGACGCTGACGGCTGGTACAAGTAACCCTGAGGATACGACATGGCCAGGCGCACACATATACCCGGGAGCCCAAGGCGCCGGGAGGGAGCCGCCGCGCTGCCGGCTTGGGGCGGCTGCGGCCGGGGCTTCGCGGGCGCCTCTCCGCCCTCGCCAGCTGGGCAGCGGCGGCACCTTGCTCTGCGCCGGGGCTGCTGCTCCGCTTTCGCCTGCAGCCGGGCACCGCTTCCTCCTTTTTCTCCCCCCCTTGCTTTCCCCTCTTTCTCTCCCCCCCTCCTCTCTTTCTCTCTCTCTCCCCCTTGCACTGGGGGGCTTTTTTTTCCCCCCTTCCTCCTCGCTCTCGCTTTCCGAAGGGTCCTGCCAAGATGCTAAGTTGGAAATTGCAGCTCCTGACGCCTTCAGCACGGCCCGGCGAGGCTCCTCCTTCGCGGGGTGTTGTCAGTGGAAGGACTGGCAGGACCCCGCTGGGCTGCCGCGGCCGGGCCCAACCAGCGGGAGGGCTCCGCGCTTCCCTGGCCCTCCCTAGCGCTCAGAGGCTCAAGTGCGCCGGCTCCTGGATTGCAGTCACCTCCGAGCCATTTAAGATCAGCTCCAACTTTCTGCATGTGCTAAATACCGTGCGGAGCAGCGTTGCGCCGGAATGCAAGCCAATCAGTATATGAAAAAAAAATAGATCTTTAATAAGATTTATTAGCCGCCCGGCTCCCCCTCTGCACAGCCACCCCTCCTCGTGCTCTCTGCCCCTGCCCCTCCCTCCGCTAAATCATTGGAGGTGGGATATACGGCGGACTGGTGGTGCTGTTAGTTTTGACTTTCTTAACAAAAAAGGAGGTTTGGGTCGGGGAAGAGCCGCAGCCCTGTCCCTGTGCTGCTCGGCCGGACACTCCCGCGGGCACCGGACCTGTTGCGGCGGCCGTGCGGGCAGAGCAGCGGCGGGGGTCCGGCCAGGAGCGGGGATCAGCTTCGCGGAGGGCTTGGATTTAGTCTTTTTCAGAGCCGGTGGCGAGAGAAGGGCGATCCGGAGGGGAGCGAAGGGGGCTGAGCTGGGTTCGCAGACACCGCTCAGAGCGAGGGTTCGCCCGCGGATCGCAGGAACACACCGGGTATCCTCCCCCCGCCCTCGGCTCATTGAAGGGTCGAGGCGAAAGCAGATTAAAACCATATGAACCGGGATAAATCCCTGCCGATCAGAAGATGTAATCTCCTGTGATTCCACCAGATATATTTCCCAATAGAAACATATCCCGATTTATTCCCTTCTCGCATTTTTTTTTTTCCCTTGCGGTTGAGGAAATGAGTTGCTCCAGGGGCAGCGGACCCCCGGCCATCGGGATCCGCCGTGCCTTTCTTGGTCTGGGGGGGGGGCAGCATAGTAAGATTTATATTTTTAGAATTTATTTTATTTTGTAACTTTTGATTTCCCGGCCTTTATGCTCTCGCCGCGGTCCCCCGGGGGAAGTACGCGAAGACGCGAGGAGCGGGGTGTGTTTTAAAGCGGGCAGGCCGGGGCAGGAGCTCCCCGTGTCGCCGTGGAGGCGACACCGACGCCGCCCCGCTCCCTCCGTCCCTCCCTCCCCCTGCGGGGCTCCGTCCCGGCGGCAGCATCCCCGTTCCCCCCGCTGGGCGCAGGCTGGGCCGTGGCGAGCGGCCGCGCTGCGGGGCCGGGCGGGAAGGGCGCGCTGTCTCCGCTGTCTTTGGGGCGGCGCTGCGGGAGCGAGGCCGGCGGGGCGGGCGCTGCCCCCTGTCCGGCAGAGTCACCCCCCGTGCCGGCCCTGCCCCGCACTACAGTACCCATCAGGCCGCGGCCCCGCCAGTCCCGCCCCCGGCCGTCCCGGCGCATGACTGGCTGTTCCCCCGCCGGCGGCGGGCGCTCTGCTTCTTCCACGGGCCCGCGGACCTGTCCCTCAGCGCGGGGTGTGGAGGGGCGGTGGCAGCACGGGCGCGGTTGCGGCGGAGTCCGGAGGCGGCGCTGACAGGACGGCGTGCGGAGGCGCTGCGGGCCGTGGTGGCCGCCCCCGGCCCGGCCCGGCTCGGTCCGGCTGTGCTGAGCCCGGTCCGGTCCGGCCCGGCCCGGCTGTGCTGAGCCCGGCTGTGCTGAGCCCGGCTGTGCTGAGCCCGGCCCGGCCCGAGGTGAGGGAGCGGGGCCCGCGGAGCCGCGCGGTGGCGGCGCTGCCCCGCCGGGGGCGCCCCCTGACGGGCTGCGCGGTTCGGCCCCGCTCCGGTCCCGGCAGCGCCGGGCGGGACCGGCGGGGCCGCACCGGGCTCGGCTCCTCCTCGGCGCTGCTGCCGAGCCGCGCTCGGTCTGGACGTTCCCTCCTCTATCCTCTTGCACTTCCCTCGCCACCCGTTTTGTTTTTTAAATTTAATTTTTTAATGTGCGGTGCGCGGAATTTCGTCTCCTTAAACTCCATGCGGTTCTGCCCCGGTAAACGACACTGGTCCATCGCCGGCTCGCACTCTCCCTTACATGCTCAATCCACACAGGTGTGCACTTTCATCAGTTTTCGACTGCACGGTGTCACCGGTATTTGTCCCCGGCTTCATTATAGTGATCGCTCTGGAGCACTGCATTTCTTTCTCCACTCGAAAGCTCTTCTGTCATAATCCTCTGACAATCCCCCTTGTTCGGGGAGTGAGATATCATCTGGTCAAGTTTTATACATTTAACATTCAGTTTATATGTGAGTAGAATAACTAACTGCTTTTCCGTGCTCCTTTCTTTGTAGGAAGAAGCAGAAGTTTTAACCATCTTCCCATGGCATCTGACTTTTTTGAAGAGGAGGTAAGGTTAACGTCATGTAAAATTACCCTCTTTATTTCTGATGTTCCACTAATCTTTCTTCTGTAGGCATACATTTTGGAAACTGTGGTGAGTTCATGCATACTTTCATGCCTTGCAAACATAATACCAGAGCTGATTAATAAACGGTAGTGATAGGACTCTTACGCCGTCAGGATTGTAAGTGCCTATCAAACTGACATTCTCACTACATTATGCCACTATTATATTCTTTGCAGTTTTAAAAGAACTGTAGATAATTATTCAAGATATTGAAACATTTAGTTTATAGTTCTATTGCTGTGGTTGTCACCTTCACTTTATATCAAATTTGAGACTCATTTCTTAAGGATGTCTCTATTTTCTGCTTTATTTGCACATTGATAGCTCTACTGAATGACTAGTCACAGCAACTTTTTCCTCTGATAGCATATTAAAATGTGAAAGCCTAAGACTAATCTGCTTTGCAGGACTTTTCAGCCACTTGATTGAAGGGAAATAAGAAGTTTGTTTCAAGACTCTTATGTCATTCATCAGCTCTGTTAACAAAAGTGGGGCTTGAGGATACATTTGCTGCTTCTTTGCATTTTTGCTGAAGGTACGTGCGTTTGAAGGTATGGATGAGTTCTTGGTATCAGGAGTTAGTGTATTTTGTAGCTGCCGGTGAAACTATACCAGTGCAAGTTGGGATTAAAATTCTCGACTTTGTATATTTTTGTCATAATTTTTTTTGGAAGATAAATTGTTAATGCAATAGAAAAAACACTTGCCCTTAAAATCTTATTTAACAATGGGAAAGATTTACAGTCTGGCTGTGCAGTCTTCGCTTTATTTAAATTTAGGCATGTGGATTTAGAATCAGCTTCTAGAAATAAATAATTATAATCCCTATTTTGATAGCCTTCATTCTGGTGGGCTGGTCCTGCAAAGCTGTTAAAAGGGTCTTTGGTTAGTTTATTAGCTGCAGTTCAGTAAGGTTTTTGGTGTGAAAGGAACTTGGATTTGAGATAACTGCACAAAATGTGACCCAAAATATAGCAACTCTTGAATTTACTTTTTTTTTTTTTTTTTTAATACACTGCTTTTTTTTGCATAATTTCTTTTAGATTGTGAAATGTGGTACAGCATAAAATAGCTTAATAAATGAGTGCATGAATGTACAGTAGGGATGAACTGAGAATATTTTCTTTCCAGGAGAAACAAATGAAAAGAGGTAGAACGATCCTGAAAGTAACAGCTAACTATATTTTAAAAGTACAGCTATTGGTAGGCTCTAACTGTAAGTGGTTTGGTTCCAGGTGGCTTGTAGTGAATGGAGTTAAACTTGGCTGTCTTGGATATGATACACCTTAATTTAATTAATTTAATAGCTACTTTCTGTTCAAACTTTAAAATCTAACGATCCTATTTTTATTGCAGTCTTTAAAGATCTGATCGTTCTTCTGTGTGTCTGAGATGTAAAACTTAGTGCAAGGAGAGGCAACAGATTGGTTCCGTCATACGATTTTGTTGGGTTTTTTTGAGAGTACTTAAAAGATTATGATGGATAATGCTGTCTTGCCAAAGAATGCCGACACAGGTGTTCATCGTTATCTTAATTAAGATCCTGAGAAAATGTCATCTTTCGGCATGAATTATGAAGGGAGATGCATTAGGAGATCATTTCAACTTTTTTTTTTCTTTTTACAGGGGTAGATGAGAAGGAGACAGTTTTCTCAAAACCTTTTTTGATATTTCTTTATCAGCATAGCTTACCTTAGACACAGAACTTGTTTCTCCAGTTCAATTTGTGACAATTTTACCAAGAGATCTGTATGCGATCCTAAAGGGAATCACCTTAAAGAAAAAATAAATACAAAGTAATTCCCTTACAAGATACCCTGTTTCATTTAAAGCTGTCCTATTAAAAAAAGAGGAGACTCGGACAGTAGTGGAAATTGCTGCTGGAAACATCTGATAAGAAATGTTTTATACAGTATATTTAAAAGTATTAACAACTCATAACAGAGAAAAATATGTGAATATTCATTTTTTTAATAAGGCATGAAGAGGAAAGAAAATTTTCTTTCTCATCTTTGCACTGTCATACAGGTAAAACTAATTAGCATGCAAAGAGGAGGGAGGGGCCTGTGTCTTTCTATGTTAATTCAATGCATTATCTGGTAAAGAGCTAAAATAATGCATGTAAAATATTGGCTGTAAAAGTTCGGGGCCCTTTCCTGCAGACACTGCTGCCTCTTCCCTCAGGTGCAGTGCTGTGAGTTCCAGGGCAGGCAGTGCAGTGGAAGTGTCAGTGTTTTGTGGCTCTCAGACTGGGTAAAGGATCCCGGGAGGAGCTCTCTGGGCAAGACACCCTCAGCTGCTCTGTTGTTTCTCCTGCCTGCACTTCCTTTGCCCGAGATGCTCCTTGTTCACACTCCCTGTGTTTGTGGTCTGAGAGCGAGGTGTAAACTCGTGAACACCTAGAATAACTCTTCTGTGCCTAGCATTTGGGTATTAGGTAGCTTAGAGTTTTGTTTTTCTCTCCAAGCCTTTCTATTTTAAATCACTTCTTGTCTGCTAAAAGAACCATGATTATCAGTTCCAGTCTTTTTTTTTGTTTGTTTGTTTGTTTTTTTTAATTGTTTCAGTAACCTTTTTAGTGTGGAATAAAATACAGAAGTGCAGCTGACAAGCCTTTCAAGCACCTAGTTATGTACTGAGCATGTAACTCCAAAGATCTTGACAGTATCATGGGAGAACCTGAAACTGTATTTCAGTTTCCTTGAAGTTTCCTGTAATTAACTTAAATGGCATTATTTGCTTGAATTTGTTGACATAGTATGGACTAAGTTAAGAATGTCTTTAGGGTTTATTTTACTTACAGTTCCATGGACATATGCAGAAAATAGACTGAGTGAAAAATGAGAAACTGCTTTCTTTCATGTCTAAAACAAGTTTTTCACTTAAAGCAAGCCACATCTACTTTGTTGGCTCTTAGAGTGAGTGAGGAGCAGCTCAGTGGGGAGGGTGGCTGTGGCTCCCTGTGCTGTTTCATGGCACGTGCGTGAGCCCATAGCTTCCCTCGCGGTGGCAAGTTCCCTTTTGCCTGCAGGTGCTGCAGTATGGTGGGAGCTCCTGTAGCTGGAATCTGGCCTCCAGTGTGGGTGTTAGAGGTGAGTGACTTGATAGCAGGGTTGTGTTCCAAAGATTTTGTGCTTTATCTACTTTACTTACATATATTTGCAGTCCTTACGACTGGTGTTTGCAAGAGCTCAGCAGTTCCTCTAAGAGGAGAAACATAAAGCCAGGTAGCCTTTCTGGCCTTACACCCAAGGAATTCTTTTTAACAGTTCATAATTTCTGGGGTTTTATTAATAATAGAGCTTTTTAGTCTGTATTCCTTAATGTGGGTAGTACAGATGCAGATGATTCTTGAAGCTGTTTTTTGCAGATTGAAGTGAATGTATTTGTAGAACCAGCATATTTTTTTTTTTCTTTTTTTATTATAGAAATCATTGCTTGAGGAAAAAAAAAAACACTTGGACCTTTCAAGGTGAATATGGATCACCATAACAGAGTTTACTGTACTAATAAACATGTGACTGATGACTCTCCTGCTCTTCCTGAAGATGCACCTTCCTGAGCAATTTCTTTTTTCCCAACAGAGCAAAAATGAGCTTTTCCTTTTCATAAGCACATATTTTTCACAGTGTTTCTTAGCATTTCTAGCACAGATAAAGAACACAGCATTTACCTCTGAAATATTCTCTGCTGACATCTACAGAAATTTTCATGCCTTTCAGATTTAATTTTGTGTAGAATAATGCATGGTATAATATGTAGGTCTTGTGTTTTCAATTAAGCTGTATTAGGTAACTATGCTCTCCTTTCATATCCCATAGCAAAGTATCAATATCCAGATGGCAGTGTGCTGGGATAAAAGATAGCTACAGGCTTGGCTGCTACTGTAAAGCCAAGAACAAACATTTTAGCCTGTGTGATAAATAAAACCTAGGTTGAGACTCTCGGCGTATTGGAGTTGCACTAAATAATTCTACAGTGCTGTTTATTACCGGTTTCATTGGATAATATGCAGCTGTAAAACCTGCTTGAAGCTTTTATTAAGAATACTCTGTCATTATAAAAAGGTGCCTAGGACTTCTTTATGGTACTGGCAGTGTGAGAATTACTTTCTTTGTGCTGACTTTCTGGCTTTTATCTAGGAAGGACCTTGGTGTCTCCCAGCTACTGTGGGCAATAGGTTTCATGAATGTCTCTTGGGAAGAGGACAGCTCTGTAGAGCCTAAGTTTTAAACGTAATTTTGAAGATATTTTTTTCCTTTATGCTTTTTCTTAAGTTTTTTTTCAGTATTTAATTTATTGCTTCAGTTAAAATTCAGCTGACATTCCCTGTAGTATACACTGTGCTACTGTGTTCCTAAGTAAAACTTAAGCTGAGGTCATCCAGGTAGTTCTTTGAGAGGATGCTGCAGAAGGGTGGAGGGACTTTTAGACTGGCTGAGAAGGGATGGGAAAACTTGGTAGCAGGCAGAGGGCTAGACCTGGGTTTGTTTTCTCCTTGTGTTTCTGTCACATCCTACGACTTAGCTTTGTTCATGTAACCTCAGCCTCAGTTTCCCTAACAGGAGCTCTGCTTGTCTCAGAAATGTTCAGATGTAAAGTGCTGTCCATGCTCATATAATTATTAGACTGTTGTGCTTTTGAGCAAGAGTAAGTGATTAATGCTGTTACTGGTTCATTAGCAAAATGCCATTAAACTTCCCCATTCCTCAGATCTTTGATTTCCGTAGGCACCTGTTTGTGATGCACCTCTCGGACCATGCAGGCTTGAGCACCATCCAGTGGGATGTGGTACTAAATAGTGTCTGTAGGATTTAACAAACATACTGGGTCAATGGATGAAGAAACCCTTGCATTGCTCAGTTTGTAATCCTTGTTTGTCAGAGAAACATGCTGAGTTAGTGACAAATACTATATTTTTTGTTCCATCCCCCATTCTCTGTATGTCCGTTTTTATCTGAATGGATTGCAGCCACGAGAGAAGCAGTGAGATCCACAGTGGGGAAAATGAACCCAGCAGTCCATCCTATCCTATACCTGCCTGAATATGGGAAAAGACCTAGTACAAAGCCAGAATGCAGCTGGGTTGCAGTCTTTTTAACCATATTAAGTCCTGTTCAGAGTTAATGGTAAGTAATCTGCTATGAATATGGTATGATTCATTAAGCAGAGCATTACGGTAGGGGCACTTTCCTTTGTGGTGCTGGGTTCAGCCACTTAAAAATGCAGAGTTAATTTTTCTAGATACATCAACTTTATTCCCATTTCTGTTGAGAAAATTGCACAGTGCAGGTGACAGGAACTGTAAAAAGTATATTCTTTCTATTTTAGTCCTCTCCAGATGATCTCAATGAGATGGTCACAGCAATGCTGAAGAAAGGAAGGGCAGAATTGGAAGGCAAGAGCTACTTCAAAGCAAGATTCTTCATCTTTCTGTAATGCCCAAACATGAAGACTTTATAAACTTCATTAGGTAGAGTATTGCTAATTGTGTCATATCAGTAATATTGCATGATGTAATATGGCATTGCTATATTGTCTGGTGATCATGTGGAGCTGCATTAAATAAATAAATGTATGCCATGACTTAAATTAACATTATGAGTGAGAGCAGTAAATGGAGAAGGTGGGTACTAGAGGAAATGCTAGTAGCCTTTTTTAAGCCAGGGTCTTTCTTTTTTTCGCTCTTTCCATAAGCAGTACTTTTTTTGTTTCTTGATAAGGACGGAATAAAGAAAAATATCTTTTCATTCAAGAAATTTGATCTAGTTCAACTTCTTAACCAGAAAGGCTTCACAGTCCTACTAGCTGATAGAGCATCTTAATGCCTTGTCCAGCAGGAAATGGCACTCATGGTGCTGACCCATTAACATCTGTAGTGCAGCAGCATGTGCTGTTCTTACTCCTCAGGGCTTGTGAAATGTCTGCTGTGGCACAGCCCTCTGTGACCTCTTGCACTGAAGGATGGAATTTGTGAGTCCTTTTCTGTCTGGAGCTTGTGGGAGCTCCCTCCTGAGCCAAATAGTTCTGAAATATTGCAAAAAAAGATCTGACAGTGTTGTCTGGGAGATGTGACTGACTTAATTATTATTAACATTTATTAAGTGCCTTGCAATGGAGTGGAAGAGCATTGCCTTCATTTTTACAAATAGGAGAACTGGCATGTAAGGAAGAATGAATCTCTTCTATCTTCTGCAATTCTTGACCCACCTAATTAGGTGATTGTCACAAGAAATGAGAAGCTGGCTCAGGGGAATGGCACTGGGGGAAGCTGCCGTACACATTCCGTTCACACCGCGCTTCTCCCTCACACAATGGCTTAGCGTGGTGAGCAGGGCTTCCCTCTGTCAGTGTTGCTGGGCCAGGGAGGAGATTTAAAAAGGCTGAGGAGCCTGAGGCTGTCTATTGGATAGCTTCATTATAGATCCCATCCAGGGAAAAAGTGGGGAACTGCAACTCATTTCTAGGAGCTGCTCTGGTTTTTAGCAATTCCTCACCCACTGCCTCCTCCCTCTTCCTTTTGCTGTGGAGTGGCCTTTCCCCACAATAAGCTGATTCTCTTCATGGCTGATATTTACACTTAGGTAGCCTCTAAGGCACTAATTGCTCCTTCTAGTCTAAGACTTCAGTTTCTTTTTTTTTTTTTTTTTTTTTTAATAATTTATTTTGCTAAGAAAGGGAATCTGTCCAGCTGTTACAAACAATAGTGGATTTGATGTGTATCAATAAAGAGTTAGAGATGTATGTTTTCCATGTAAAAGATAAAGAGATTTAAAGCCTGCTTTAAAGTAAGGCAAACCTTGGAGAGGTTTACTTAGATGTACAATATGCCTCATTCTTTCATTTTTAAAAACAGTATTAAGGGATTTTTTCAAGAAAAGAGAAAATAATTTAGTCTTTTTGCATTTTTTTCTTAGTCTCACAGTGGTAAGATAAATATTCAGAGTTAGGAGTTGCTAAGGTTAATGTGATTAAAATGAGTATGTGATAACAGGCTCTGCACATTAAAGATTAAGAGCTCAAATTATAGACTCCAGAGGGAAACACTCCATGAGCATTTGTAAATTTTGTTTGTGCAAGAAATGCAGGCTTAGGCCTTTGGTTGGAGTTGCACAACAGTTTCATCCTGTTGTATCTGCAGAGAATTCTTTTAAACACTGTAGTGTTGGGGTGAAAATGTAGTGAGGTGGGGGGGACAAATGAGGAAATAATTTTGGTCTAAGCATTAGTGTTACTCTATAAAAATAGATTAGTTTTACACAATTTATTCACATTTACAAAGGTCAGTTTATAGCATTCTGAGTGCAGTAGTTAATTCTTTATGTATAAATTGATCCTTTATACAGATATAATTCCATATACAACATTTAATCGTTGAATGCAAGTTGAAAATATATTAGCAATTAATTTATGTAGGTTATGACTTTCTTTCCCATGTATTTTGTAGTGATTCCTACCCTAAAGTTGAGTCAGGATGTGCTTAATGAAAATTAGATGTGAAATGTAATATGCAGAGGACAAAGAAGCATTGAAATCCTTATTTCTCTTTAAAAGACAAAGGTACCTCAGATAATTCTCCTTTCTTAATCTCTTAAGGATTTGATGCATAATTCTGTTATGAGCAATTTGGAGTGAATAAAAATATTTTTAGAAGTATTATTAGTACCAGACTATTTCTCACCTTTTATGAAGCATAGTTTGGTTTTAAAATTTAAAATTCTTTGCATTTTGAGAGGTTAATTTATAGGCAGCCTTCCCCTGAGAAGGGAAAGCACCTTGGACCTTGTGGAGAGGCAAGCCTTCTTGTTATATCTGTGAAATTTGCTAATGTTGCAACCATTGAAATAAAATGTTTGTTTACATAACAGAAGTGGCATTTCTCCTCTTCTTCCTTGTGGTTTTGTCCAACTAGATGTTATGAGTGGCAGTTGCAGTGACTGCTAAGTGTTTAAATGATGACACCATTATGTGAAGTGATTTTGAAATGAGAGATTCCAGCCAAGAATTACATCTGCTCTCATCTCCTTCAAATCATACTCTCTGGCTGTGCAGATTATGATTGATTTGTTTGTGACAGATTGCAGGAAACAGTCATTGATTTTTCAATATTTTACCTTAAAATTATTTACAGTTGTAACCAAGGGGAGGTATTTCCATGGGCTGTCAGCCCCTGAAAGACTGGGATAATATTCCCTGCTCCCTGACAAGACAAATTACCCGTAATGAGTGCAGTAGCTGAAGGGTATACTTTTATTTTAAAATATGTCAATAACCCAGTGACTAAACGAATATTGATTCAGCATAATGAAGCCTGAGTAATGTGAAAATGAGCTCTTCAAGGAGCATGGTAAAGACTTTCTTTTTAGCTTGTAGCGAGAAGCTTTTCATTCTTTACTGTTAGATAGTTGAAATGTGCAGTCTTAAACAAGTCATCCTTAAACATTGGTAATATGTGGAGTAACGTAACAAAAGAACTTCAGGGTTTTTTTCTGTTTATTTTTTCTTTTTTTTTTCCTCCAAGTTCTTTTTTCTTCAATATGTTTCAGTAGATTAAACACTTAAAGAGGAAAATGCAAGTTATCCAGGGCAGGGATAGAATTACTATTTGTGTAAATGTCTTTTGCAGTAATATTCTTCAGCTAGCTTAATGGCATTTTTAATGTGGATTCTGAATATGGGCATGGAAATATATCTAAATAAACTGTAGATTTAATTTCATATTATTGACTTTTTGACATACTGATGTGTGTTCTGTGTGGCCAGTCTAATATTCTTGTCCTTCAACAGTTTAGAGTGGCTGGTTTATGAGCACCTAGATATACTATGATATAAAACTTAGTTACCATAATGCACATTTTTCTTTCCATAACATATAACACTGTGTGTTTCTTATCAAATGAGAATTCTCCAGCAGTAATTCATTTAAATTACAGTAATTTATGCAGTGCCATAGGTGTGGTGTGGAAAAGCATCTAATAGATTAATATGAATGTACTTCAATTGTTCAGGGTAAGGATTAGATTAAAGACCATGTTGAGGTACAATTTTTTTAACATTAGAAGTATTGAACGCTAAAAAAAAACCACCCCACCCTATCATGTGAAAGGATCAATTGGTCATTTGTATTCAAGAGCATCATGCAACATTGGGAAGGCTCTGCAGAAACACTGGGTATAAATAGCCGTGTAATCCAGACATAGACAAAAAGATATTTTCTTGGAGTGTTTGTGTGTAATGTGTCAATTATGAAATAATGTCATAGCCAGAAGCATTTAGTGAGCATGTTTGGGCATGAAGATGACTTTCCTTATTTTCTGAGGACTAACTTCAATTGCATCCAACTAGCTTGTGAAAAATCTTCAGAAGGCTGTTTTCCTATCAGCACAAAGGTGATTTTTTCCAAATGTCATTCCTTTAGCACTAGAAACTATTTCAGGAGGCACTTGAGAACCTGTGGCATTGAGAGTTAAATGGCAACCCTGGAATGTGAGATATGTTCCTGTTTTTAATTTGTTAGTTTTCAGAAAAAAAGTGTAATGTACGTTTGAGTGGGTTACAACTGCACATAATTATAGTTTTGAGAGGGTTTGTGCATATCTCCTGGGATTTCCAAAATATTGGAGAATTATTAATGGTGAGGCAGTAATAAACTGAAATATATAGCTGTGACAACAGGAGAATTTGGGGCTTTTGTACCTGTTGCAAGAGATCTACAAACGTTACAATATTGAACCTTAACTTCCTGCTCAGTTGCATTTTACACACCTCAAGTTCCCTGCCTGTTCTTTGTTTCTGTACCTTTTTGTTTCTTTGGCCAGCAGCAGGAGATGGAAAGGGAGGATTCTTGTTCAGTAGCTTTCCCACAGTAGCGAGGAAGAGGGAGACTGTTCAGGGCTGGGTGCCAGCTCTGGTGCAGACTGAAGGGCAAATAAATGTTTGTTTTAACAACATCTCCTTTTCCTGAATAACACTGCATGAGCTCATGGTACCAAACTGAGCAACAGCAGATACTGCTGGAGGTACTGCTGGCAGGGAAACTGAAGTGGGCTCTGCTTGCAAGGCATTTTTCATCTGCGAGACAGGCAACAACTCTGTCTTTGCTGTCTTTCCCAAAGATGAGTTTGTTTCTTGAATATCTGACGTTCCAGCCCAGGCCTGAACCATGTGCTTGGCACTAAAAGCAAATGGTGCATTCTTGGCTTTTTATTTTAATTTGTGGGTGATACTGGAAATGTCTGATGATAGTGCCTTGGAAGCTCTGCAGTTTATTCATACATGTCTCTGTGTTAGAACTGTGACAATTGTTAATCCACTTTCAGGTGGACTGTGGAGGCGAAAATAAAAACCTCAGACAAAAAAAAAATCCTAAATAAATTAATTGATTAAAAGTTATTGTGGCATTTGGGATCTCCCAGGAGCAGAATATAAGCCCAATTGCTGTTCAGTTAGATAAAAGTAAAAAACTGTGAAATTAAGATCATGGGTAGAGAACAGAATAATATCATTTGTGGCAGAGATGAGACTATTGGTCAATCATGAAGGTCTAATATTTAGGGGCTGGATGACCCTCAGCACTCCACAACTTGTGAATTTTGACCCATTTCAGTTAATTTCACAGTGAACACAGTGCATCAGTGTGTTCTTGTAGTAGGTGGTTTAGTGTTCCAATTCAGATCTTGGTTCCGTTATCAATAAAGTAGCAACCAAAACCAATTTTTAATTTTGTTTTTCCTGTTTACTCAGCCTCTGTGTTATCTATGTGCTCTACAGACCAGCCAACTAAAATAAGTTTAGTTTAAAGTGAGAGAGGAGAGCATGTTGATGTAGGTGATGGAAATTGTGCTTACTGGCTAAGCCTTCTCCATGCTGCCTCCTTCCCATTGTCAAATTACTTATTTGAACTCTAAGAACTAATATGTGATGGAACCCAAATCAGAGCAGTATACAAGTGGGCAGACAGTACTTTGTAGTATTTGCTTATCTAATGTCATGATGACTTGAAACCAATTCTTAGTGCCCTAAATTACGCTTTGAAGGTGGTGTTTCTTTTTGTTTAAATTTGTGGACAAATTATTGCTTTCCCAGAAACAATATGCAATATGCAAATACTCTGTTCTCTTGGAATGACCATTTTATGTACTAAAAGATGTCTGTCAGTAGTGCCGATAGTATCGCAGTCTTTGGTGTGTTGGCATATGGCTTATGGTGAACTGTAAGGCTGAGATAACCCTATAAAAATATGTGAGGGATCCAAGATGCTGTGAAAGTCTTGCTTAACTGCAATGGTTAAAAAGGAATGGCTGGCTTAATGCATGAGTGTTGAAATCTATGTCTGGAATTATGGAAACAAGTTGAGAAACATGACCAGAATTGATTGTTGATTATTTTCCTTAGTAAGAGCTGGGAAAAGATGTATTGTGCTTTTTTGTGGTTTTTAAAGGCCCACAGTATCCCTTTTTTCTTTTTTTCTTTTTTTTTTTTTTTTTTTTTAGTTTCTTTTGTTAACTTATCTTTTAATATGTAGTGTCATTCCCAAAATGAAGTAGTGTCCTTGGGCTGGTGGCAACAGCTGGAGTTGCAGAATTCATAAATAATTCAGAGAGGGATAAAGGGTAGGGGAATTTTTTTGTCATTTGAATCTTTATTATGTGCACACATTTCATTTTAGATATGGCATCATTTGAATTCATTCAGTATGATGATTGCACTGACCTGTCATATTTATTTTGATGTCCCTTCGAAGGACCATATGCTCTGTCCTCGGCATGAAAATGATGCAAGTTGCAAACTGAAAGGCAGCTCTGTTCCTGTAGGGATGAAGCCCCTCACTTCCCGTTGTCACGTCAGTGGATGTACAGCTGCACTGCAGTAGAGAAGGTGGAGTTGTTATGTCAGTGCAGTGACTAAGTGGCAGTGTAGCCTAGCAAAAGGTGGAAAAAAGGGCAAAACCCATTTGCATCAAGGTATTGTATGGCATTGAAAACTCAGCTGTCACTGAGGGCCAGTTGGTGTGAGGAACCTGGCATGTGGAAGGTGGAAAGGATTAGAGCCAGCTAGAAATCTGCCAAGGTGGAGGTGTGCCATGGTAGCTTTAATGTGGGAATACAATTAATTACTCTGTATGTTGGAAGTGGGGTTGCCATGAACACAACCTCCTGGGGTTGTATGGGACTTAGTCTGGATATGCAAGGCTCAGAGCTTTTTCTTTGCCCAATCCATGTCCTCCTTTCCTCTTGAAGCTGCTTGCTTAGTCAGACAAAATCTTGGATAATGTTTTTTTTGGGGGGGAACAAGGGGAGGAAATGTGCAGTTGTAGTTTGCCTCTTCACTAATTCTGCTGTAACCATTGCATCTGGTCCTTCATTTATTTTGTTGGTATGTTCCTGTGGACAAGTGGTACATTTTCCAGAAGTTACAGGGTCGAGTCCAACCATGTCCCATAAGTAATGAACTGCATGATAATGACTGGCCAAAGCACTGGCTGGTATTAGCAATTGACAATTGCTGGATAATGGGACTCTGTTACCAGGACTTTGTTACTGTTACCTTTGAATGTAATATTAACACCATAAGATCGCAACCATGTTATTTTCATGGTATAAGGTGTAACAGTGAGTGGTGATTTGTGTGAGGTACGTGGTCCACTGTGCTCATGCCAGGGGAAGAAGGAAGCCAATTAAGTGCAGGTTAGTAAAATACAATAATTAGAAGCTGTGAATGAGAATAACTGTATGCAAAATTGTTTCTTTTCTAGATCCTGTCATCAATGAATGAGCCTCCCTGAAATCATCCTATCAGTTACTGCCAAGATGAGAAGGATAACAGGAAGGAAGGAGTGCTTAAGTGGCTTTAATAACAGTTAATTTAATACGTTTATCAAATGACAGGTTGCTTTTTCCTCAAAACTCGATTGTCATGACAAGATGCTTTTGGAAGTCATCTTTGTAAAATAAAACTGACAATTTTTAAGGTATAAAGTGCTATTGTATTTTTCTTTAGAATGTTGTCATTATGGTAAACTGCTGGAAAGTCTTTATTTTTGAAGTAATTTAACTTGCATACTTCATTCATTTATTTGAATGTCTGTTGAATGCTGTGTGAAAAATTTCTTGCCAGAGTTTTTATTCAATGGAATAGTTACTGTTACAGTGCTCAATTTATTATTGTCTAAATTACTGTTGCCCTAGCCTCCTGCAAAAATGTTTTTTTTTAGTTATTCTTAAACAAATAAAGAATGAATGAGGTTCTGTCCCCTTTGTGTTTTGATCAGTATGTTTTACCTTTCAGTGAAAGTGTCTTCAGTTTTTGGAATGGAACAACACAAAGAAAGGTGTTTTGGTTTTGTTTTTTTTTTTTTCCAGCAGCACGTCTTTTGTGCAATGATTTTTTAATATATACACTGCCAAGATACAATTACTGGAAGGAGAGAAAGATATGTTGGGAATGTCATGTTATGCCAAATTAAGAATTATTAGCTCTTACTTTCTGTGCAATCTCTTCGACTAGAACTCGACCTATTGCGTCTGGCGTATACTTTGACTCTAGTGGAACTAATGTGTCCTTGGAGTAGCATTTCAGAGTAACTTCAGATTCATGTTTTTTTCACAAGTCTGCTTTAAACTGCTGGGATTAACTTCAGAGAAGGCAAGAGATACAGGCTCCTTTGTCAGCAGCTGTGCTGGTTAAAGAAGGAGGCTTCATGCACGCTTGCTTGCTCATTCTCTCCCTGCTAGGGAGAGAACTGTTTCCCTGAGCACACCCAGACTTACTTCAGGCAGTTAATCTTGTTATCAAATATTGGTTATCCAGGGCCCTGGGTCACTTTGATGAAAGGACAGGGCACACACAGACCAGCTGTGCAGACGTCATGTCTGGGAAGGGTGGTGTGTTGACAAGAGCGTTGCTGGGGACTGGCCCTGGTGTGTTGCCTTTTCAGCAGGTGCAGTTACATCTCTCGGATGTGATAAAAATTGGACATGTTAGAAAGCTGTCATGCATAATACTCACATTCCAGAGACATCCTGGATAATGCAAAATAAACCTGTACTCTTTGACTTTCTCCTGGTGTGTGCCAGTATGAGCAGAGAACTGGTGAGAGTGTGTGTAGGGACAGACACCTATTTCAGGAAAATGTATCTGGTCAAGATGTGGAAATGGTACAAGTGTTTCCACTATCTAGAGAAGACATTTTTACTTTGCTCATCAAAGAGGCTGCTTCAGCCAACACATGCTCAGGAGAACTTCTTTTGACACTTGGGCTTGTGAGCTGCCTTAAGCAGAGGAGGGAGAACACCTCCAGCTGAAGTGGCTGCAGTTGCTCCTCTACAGTGTTGAGTCAGTAGATGCTGGAGTCTGGTGAGGCATCCAAGCTCTTGATATTCCCTGTGCCAAAATTAGAATGGTGTGGATAATTTTTAATACTCTAAGACATACTGAGTAAAAGCAGTGCACTGAGCAGCTCCTTCAACACTGACCCTTCTTGTGCAAAGGCTGTGGAGTGTAGGTGCCTTCCAAGAGCTGGTGTGGGCATGCAAAGAACAAGAAGCTGTCTGATCTGTCAGAAACACTGTTTCCATCTCCTCTCAGGGCACTGCCAGGTGAAAAGAACACAGTCACAGAAAGGACTGAGCCTCCAGCTCAGCTTGTGTGTCATCCATTATCTTTTATTTGTCCTTAAGGTAAAGGATGAGGAATATGCAGTGGCCATACTGTGCATATGGAAGGGAGGAAATAACGTGCCAGGTGTGTAAGGAAGAGGCAGGTGTGGCTCCAGGTGTGAGAGCTGTGCCCTGTTCCAGTAGCCCAGGGCTGAGCCATTGCTGAGCTGTCAGTGCTGGGTTCAGGAGTGGTGTGCCTCCCCCAAACGATGGTCACATGTCTTCCCTGACCATGAACTAAGTGCAAATGAGCCTCCAAATGCGCTCTCTGAGACAGCCCATAATTCATATAATTCTTTATCTTAAAATGGACTATTGTAATACTGAGACTGAAATGTTTAATGAAATGCTTGTGATTGCCTAGGAATTTATTTACCTACCTGAGTGGTAATACCCAGTTACACCAGTACTGCAAAATAACGTCTTACAAAGAGCAGTGTCATGGATGTTAAGCTGATGAGTAAAATTTTACATCCAAGCACTTAAAACGGTCAAATACTATAGTTAAACTGCCATACTGCTTATGTAGTGCTAAAAAGACAACAAAATTAAGCTTCAGGGAAGGCAGATTTACTTCTTATAAATATTCCAAATAATAGGTTGGCTTCAAGTAGACTTTCTGGCTCTTTGGTGATTGCTGCATTCGGTCTGAATCTATCAGGAATCCCAATCGTAATGGTGTGTTTATTATTATAAACATATGATTTCTATATATGTTCTCCACAAATATGTTGGACAAAACATAGTTTACCTTCTTAACTGGTACTATATGGTTACTTTCCGACTCCTTTAATTTCAGTTCTAACTTGATTGAATAAAAGGTGCATTCCTGACAATAATCTTTACATCTGTAATGGGACACTTGATTTTATATGACTGTTTGCATGCTCCAGACATAGCACAACATTTTTAAAGCAATATGTGTTGACAATACACAGAGATAAAAATCAGTTTATGACAAATTGAGGAGCAAACTTTTAATAAGACCAATGAATGATTAGAAATTATTAGAAAGGGAATATTAGATTTTCTGTCTTTTGAATGAGTATGAAATATTTTTATAGAGCTTGAACAATGGCTGGGTGTGGTAGAGAAATTCCTCATAGGCTTCTGAGGCTTTTGCAACACCTGGAGTCAGACTGGGTCATCTTAGACATCCTTCTGGCTTGGAAGGGAGTGAGAAGTCTCAGTGTAGCAAATATGTTCATAGAAGAGCAGCTTCCACTGAAAAGTTACTCAAAGTTAATTAAGCTCATCTTCAAAAACGGATTGGGAGGGGTGTTGGAATATATCTGTTGCCTAGTGCCATTCCTTTTTCAAAGATCCCCTTTCACCTGACCACTTGCTCCTGTAGGGTGTTTCATTGCCTTAGGTAGGTTTCTCAGCTTAATCCATCCTCCCCTCACCCACATTAATCAAACAGCACACTAGCATCTTTTTTCAGAGCAAATGTCTTCTACAGAGTGTCTACTTCTACAAAGTATAATGTTGCCTTTCTGCTAGAAATATTTATTAGGTTGAAAATAATCTGAACTGCTGTGGATAAATTAGGTTTGTTCTCTACTAAGATTAGATAGCTGGCACCCATTCACTAACACGTTACAAGAAAATGATTGCAAGTTGATTGTATAGAGTTACCTGCCTTTTTTTCTCTTTAATGGGCTTTTTGCTGTCACCAAATGTGTGCAAGTCGTACTTTCCAAATGCTCTACACCCTGGGGAGATGATGTTTGCTGTCCTGTACCATGAAAAGACTTGTGGGCAGAAGTGTTTGGAGAAGAGGAGAGGTTGTCTCCATGTAAATTTCTGAATCTTGTGCACCTTTGGTTTTGGCCAACAGGGGTGTGTTCTGCTCTATGGCAATCAATACCTTACCACCAAAGTCCAAAATGCCAGGTATAATGAGCTCATGTGTTTAAATAGGTGCTGTTATTTTTCAGCTTGAATATACAAGCTGTTTTCATGCAGAAGTTCATGTTTTACTTGGGAAGAATGCTGTGCAAATCAGAAAAAGCAAAAAAAACCTATTTAAAGTTGTGTGCAAGTGTTTAAGATTTTAAAAATAACTGTGAGATCTTTATTTCTTTGTTTACGGTTGATTAGGGTTAGAGTTTTAAAAGCTTAATGCTGACTTTAAGTGCTTTACAGTCAGTCACTGAGAATTATGTGCTTGGCACAACTCACATTTTTGTCCTTCAGTATATCCATTATTGTTAGATGCTGAGTGGTCATTGCACATAGATGACTGGGTTTTTGGCTATTTTACATTTTTACATGTTCAGAAAAATACTTCGTTAAAGCAGCTGCTGGGTGAATGGAGTTATTAAAGAACTGTACTGCTTTTATTGAAGCTGACATATGCTGCACATTCCTTAAAACTCAGTATGTGAGCAGAATGTTTCCAGGATTTATTGAAGGCAGACATCTAGAGATACTGGGGAGCTTTTAATAGTAATAAAGATAACTTCCAAGTTTTATGCTGTTATATAAATCTGTCTTTAAGAAGAGAGCTGTTATTGCAATACATTGCTTGTGTTCTTCATATTTTGTCCATGTGTATGTTTTATGTATGTACTTGTACACCTACACACAAATGCTTGACCTGAGCACTTTTATTTGACAGTTATTGTGTATTGTACTTAGTATTTGTTTGTGAAAAAATAATGGTCTAATGCTGACTGAGAATCTCAATTTGCTTGGTACCAAAAAAATCTGCAGTATATTGTGGAGGTCTTTAATTTATTTATTTTTTTACACTGAAATACAGCCCCTCTCAGTTTGAATTACAACTCTTATTGTGTGAGTGTTGTGGTAGCAAGCAAGGAATCTTACTCAGCATAGACTGAGGCTGGGTTTCATTTTAAGTTGTATGATGAGTGCAATGTTCCACACGTGTGATACTCTTGCAAGTTGTGAAAAAAGAGACTTGTTTATCTATCATCCATATTTTGTATAATTTCAGAGAAGAATGTTGTCATTACTGTTAAATTACTTGGCTAAAACTAGCAAACTTTCACCTGTATATTTTGTAATGTTTAGACCTTAAGCACTTTTCAAGCCACATGTTTGACTTACCATTGTTGCCCACTGTAAAATAAAATACAATATTAAAATACATGCCAAAAGAACATTCTTCATCAGCTATGAATAAACACATGGAAAAGCTATTTTCAAAATTTCAGGTTTTCTTGCGAAATTTTTCCTGGTTGATTTTGTATTACCTTTAATGTGGAACTTGGAAAAGAGGCTAGTTTCCCTCACCAGGGTACATGCGGTGCTGTTATGTGTCAGTGTTCTAAACTTCTAGGACTATGTAAATGGAAAAGACACTTTATAATTTTAGCATTGTGTTAGGCATGCAGTGGAAGTTAGTTTTATGCCTGATTGTTTGAGCAGGCTAGGTATTTTCAAGTGTCTTTGTAGTCCAACAAACTCATTTTATGGACAAAGCTTTTCATACTGGGTTCTGCAAGTTGAAGACAAAAGCATTTCTAAACTACTCGTCTGTTTTAATATTGTGAGTCAATTCCCATGTGTTACAGTGTAAACTACTAACTAATCCATAGGAGTTTATGCAGCATAAAGTCATTTA